AAAGTATGCATTGAAGACAGTACACCGTCGCATCGACCTCCACTGTGCGCCGGTCGATACTCCCGGCTGCACTGTCTCCGTGCATACTTTGAGGTATCCTCGTAATAACCTCATATTATTAGCGGTACATACCAACAATATAGAATATGGCGGCAAATGCTTCAACACAAGACAGCTTACATGGCCTGCCATAATTGATTGGATTTGCTGCTAGTAAGTATGGTAAGAGCCTCAAGTGAGAACCTTTCATTTTGTGGAAAGGCGTTTCTTCTAATTTATTCCATGAACAATCTACAACCGCAATACCATGCTCAGCCACGATCTCTCTGAAATAAGCAGATTCTTGTCAATTGAAAATAAATGTTTCAACACTTTGGGTACAGTGGGTCTCATGTTTATACATGTTTATACCAGCCACACAGTAAAACATTTCTTCTAGCATCTAAATATTTACGATTTATCTTGTTTTTTGTGTGGATTTGCAATTGTCTCACCACGGCATGTTTTGTATGGGTCCCATACGACCAGTGTTACCCAAAATTGGCATGGACAAATGTTGTGGTTTCATTTCAAAAAACAGGAGCATTTCAATACAAAGTAAATGAAAGTAAAAAGAGGGAATGCCACATACAACATACTGTTGTAATTTAAATCGTCATTTGATGATTTTATCGCATTCCTGATTTTGCGAAAATTGCTGATACACAGTGTTGTACGGCCAATTCTGGTGGCTGACATCTGGGCATTTTCACCACCTGGCAACCATCACCAGTAAAAATCAAAGAAAGCTTAGAAAGAACTCCCATGTGCTGAGAGTATTGGAGACACATTAAATATAATTCGAAATTACTTAGCTGAAAACTAATTATGCAAATCAGAAAATTAATATGACCAGATTTGAGTGTAAAACTAATGAGGTCTGCGCAATGTAACAGAAAATCTATGTCTCCAAGTTTAATTGAAATGTGATTAGAACCAAAAAATTATGAATTATTATGCTTATTAGGGAATTAATATGAACAGATTTTTACCCCAAACTAATTAGGTTTGTACATTGTCCTAGAGCATCTTTGTACTAAGTTTCATTGAAATGGAATAATTAGCACCGTGAAAACTCCAAAATTTCGACCCCTCTAAAAAATTGACCGCCT